GAACCAGATCTTGGAGAAACATTTGTTCTCCTGAGCACTGCCATTTGGCCACCCTGGAAAGTATGAGGATATCTGGCAAATAAATATATTCAGGTATTTTAAGGATGTCTTTCATAGAAAAACTAAGTAGGTTTCAGAAATACAATGCCTTAAGTCAAACTCTGTTACAGTGACATTAAGGATGCCTATAAATAAATCCAAGAGTAACAAAGACAAGTCACAGAATAAAGCATGCTGCAACTCTAGCATTTCACACAGGAACAGAATTTTATTTTCACCTGAGGCCCTTGAACCTTTTATATTTCCATGTTGTTTGGGTTACAATTCACTGTTCTTAATATAGAGGTCAGACAAGCACTCTCGTGTGTTTATGAAATGGACAGGGAATGATAAACCACAGATTTCTAGGTATCATACTCAGAGATACTAATTTAGTTGTTTTATGATAGGATTCAAGGGTCAAGATTTTTCTAGACCCCAGGTGATTCTGAGGCCAGAAGGTTCAGAGACCACCTCTTGAGAAACTCAGTTTTATTAGATAAACGTAGAATGAGTGGGAAGCAGGGCTGATCTGGTTTAAATATAAAGAGTTAAAAAATCTAGGTTTCAGTTAACATTTCAGAGAGACCATTAGGCCAGTCCCAATGGATAATGCTTGAAACTTCCATGTGAGCAAAAGGCGCTGCATGCTAATTTTTTTCAATTATAAATAAAAATCAGCTGGGTGTTGAATAATTTATGGCTTCCTGCAAAGCTGAATTTGAAAACATCAAGCTGGCAGCCTGTGCCATTCCAGCCCACGCATGGACAGCTGCCATGCACGCATATCCGTTACTTTTTTGGAGATTATCTCCACATGCTGTATTATCTGGCTTTCCACATCAGCAAGTAACACGAAACACAATCAATATCACAGAGGCCACAACACAATTAAAGACAAAGATGAGGCATCCATAGCTTGCAGTACAGAAACCTGAAGGGAATAAGGTACTGTCCTCTAATTATGGAAGCCAATTCTGGCTAGAAATAAAGATAAATCTGACAGTTATTGACTTACTGGCGGTCCCTGCAGAAATACTCAACTTTCCAATTAAGATAGTAATCGATAATGGAACTTAAGAAATCAAAGTCAGAAAAATGGTTATATTTTACAAGTTAATTGGATAAGCATGTTGAAAAATATAAGTGTTTTTTGAAAGGAATTGAATTACCTTAAAAGAAAATAGTGTAAGAGCATTTCATACACTG